TAGTTCAAGTAAGAGGAGAAGTGTGTGGGAAGTATGAGGAACAGACGAGGAAACTAATACTTATAGAAATGTTGCGGAGGCCAGAAAAGCAGTGCACCAAAGCTTGTTGCACATCCGGAGGTCGCTCCTGAGCAGAGACTTGGCCAGTATATGCTTTGATGCCAATGAGCTATGCGTGAGAACAGATCTTCGTCTACGTGCACAGAGAAGACTGACGTGCATGATTACCATACCAATAGATTGATGCCTGATTCTGCCTTTTGAAAAGCTTGCCGAGCACATGCTGTTTCCCTTCGCGGCAAGCCAATGAGCCGAAGTGTATATATTCTGCGGACTACAGCACTGTTTCTATTTGAGGTGACATTTTCCGAAGTAGTAACATCTAAGGCGACGTTCACTCGAGTCACGTCACAGTGTGCATACGTGTTGTTTGTGCTCATTTTGGAATAGGTTGCGATATGCTCGTCTCCTGGAATCTGCAACTATGGTCAGCAGATACACGTATCGTGTCACATGAGCGTTAATTAGTGGCTGGAATATAACCACAGAATCTGAACAGCAAATCGTTTCCCTGCTGGTTATAGATCTTGGTCTTTCCTTTCAGCGTATCGGTAGCTGGTCTTAAGCCGGACTCGCCAATGACGAGGGCGATCAATCACAGCCTCACAGCCTTGTGATTCTCCATCATCCAGTATCTGCCCTGATTCTCTCCAGGAAACTTTTTAGGTTGTCCAACCGGAAACGCCCTTCCGATAAACTTGGTTCTTGTTACAGCTGGGCAACGAAACAGAGAATAGTCTTCTTCGCGTGTTCGCATTGTCACGAACGCATTCGCACGAACGCATCCGCAGCTCAGCCTCCAGTCAATGACCGACCACGATGAGACTGCACACTACTCCTGGCACTAGTGTACAAGAGCCAGAAGTGACAAGTTCCTTGGTCACCAGTGCCCTAGTGTAGTGCGCGATGGCCAAGAATCGCCGGAAGTAATGTCCTGAAATCATGGTTTTCTTGCTTGGTGTAACCTGTGGTCAAATCTTGCTGCGCAGTTCATTAGCCGCCAAATTATAAAAGTCGAGAGCAAGCCGCGCATGATATACCCGGAAGGTGAAGTCCAGCCACAAATTGAACTATCTCTCGACCTCCCATGATCCTTGAGCAGACCTAGTAATTATGCCACGCCTCAACACTGATACATCGGGCGCGAGAGCACATGGGAGCTCATTGCCTGTGCGATCGCCGACAACGTCGCCAATCAGCGCCCGGCTTAATCCTCGGATCCACCAAAGCGCCTCGCCCGATACCCTGATCGCGAAACTGCAATGGGACCACCTCGACAAGATGGAGAAGCTTGAATTTGATCAGCGTGGTCAAGAAACGACGATGAGAAGGAAGCATCTTATTGAACACAAAGAACTGGAAGAAGAACTGCTGCAACAACTGAGTCGTGGACTCTCACGTCAGCACCATGACTTCATTTGTGAAACCCTTGAATGTCACAAGTACAGGCTCTCTCAAATCGAGATGACCCAGAGGCTTGAATCAAAGAAGGAAGCTCTTGACCAAGCAAGGGAAGACCTGCTCGCCGAGCTTACAAAAGAAAGAAAACAGGTCGGAGATAGACAGGAGAAAGACTTGAAGGTGTTGAAGGAAAGCCAAAAACTCCAGGTGGATACGCTAAGACAGGCCTACGAGGATGGTGAGGCCAAGATCTTATCTCAGGGCAGCTCAGGTGTGAGCTAGGTGACTGCTCTTTCAGTGTATCTCAAGTACTCTTCACATGCATTTACAACTTTGTTCCTTTTATTTTGCAGGTCATCCTACGTGCATGTCTGCAGAAACAACTCTTATCAACTATCAAGCCCGGTAGAATGTACCATCATGGGCTTACATCACTCTTTTCCAGTTGAGCCATATGTGACGACTCTGAGATCAGGCAGAGGGGGGTCTTGCCAACAAACCATGGTAAGCTTGGCAGCAGATAACCTTATTGCCATCTGCAATCTCCTGAGGGTTGGATAACCGAGTAATACCATTTTGAGCGTGTTTGGCCTCCGATTTTGACGTCGGCATAGCGATATGTTGTCAACAGAGCTGTGGGGACGCGAACACAACAGAACCACCATCCAAACCACCAGATGACATATTGCAAGAGTAAGCAAATTACCATTATCACGATGGAGTTGAACTAACCACCATCTGTCAAGATGCAAACGTTCTTCAGGTTCTCACCCTCCCCTGGGCGTCCTCCTAGTGAGCAACCAGTCTCAAGCTCTGAGATAGCATCACAGGTCAGAGAGGTTGGTAGCAGGCCTGATTAGAACAAGACTAACGGTAGCATAGGATAATGCAACATCTTGTCTGGAACAGTCGTTCCACGAAGCTTCGGCTTCAAACACTGCTCTCAAAGCGTACGAGAAGCCGAAGGTTCGTGTGAAGGCAGACCACGCACTATACATGAAGTCCTGGTTCCCAAAGTGTTCAGTTAAGCACGCTCAAAGAAATGAAGAGAGAAACAAAGACAGGTGCCAACGCTCAAGGCTCCCTGAAAGCCCTGTTAGCCATGGAAGCCCAGTTTCCCACCACAAACAAGAAGCAAAATGCAGGGAAGTTGGAAGATGGACCAGATTTACCTGAGACAGCTGTAGAAACATTGGAAACATTGGAACCTGGAGGATTTGACGGAAAGGCCGTGAAGTGTTCGACGGATGAAGAGGCCCGTATCCTCGCCGGCAAGCGTGGCGAAAAGTCCCACAGAAACATGGCACTTCGACTCAAGCAGGGCCGCAAGGGCAAGAAAGCAAAGGAGAAGTTCTCATGGTAGAGTTGAAGTATAAGGACGTAGGGAGACTGGAGGAAAACAAGTGATGACTTGAAGATTATTCTGAATCAAGTGAATAAGAACGGGGAAGAGTAAGATGCCACACCTAGGATGAATTTCTGGTCGTGGAAGTAACTGAAGGCGTTGAAACCATCAGATCAACTGCAGACGCTGTTCTTTACAAGTGGGAATTAGGTAGTAATTGATTGCAAGACGAATACTTGGACAACGAAAAGGAATAAGCTTGAAGTGATGTCTCATGAACCGGATCCACCAAGCGCTTGGTCAAAGCGCAAGCCAGCTTTCTCGGAGGTCAAACCCCGCCTTGGTCTACTCTATATATAAACAGTGAGAGCTGAGCAACCAGAGGACAAGCATAAGGTACAGACTGATACGCGAGTTCTAAACTACCTATAAGAAACCCGAGTCACAGCTCCCACACTCTGCAACTCTTACAAACGCCACCCACATTCCTTAAGTTTTCTGATCATGGCTCCAACAGGCGAAGTCAACGACCCAAAGAAGCTGTTCCGGCCGATAATCCTTATTGGCCTTTCAGCCTGGTATATTCCAATTACCATCTACAACTTACTTATCACCTTTCAATTCTCTAAATTGAAGTCCTGGTCCGCCTTCCAAAAGGCCTGGTTCGGCACTTTTTGGACTTACTTCGGGCCTAGCGTGCGCGAAGTTGGTGTTCCCGCGGTGGTACCTCTGCTCCAGAATGCGAATGGTGTAGTATTGGACATTGGCCCCGGCAGCGGCGAATGGATCTCTTGCTTCTCCGCCTCTGAAAACAAGAACGGTATCAGGAAGATATTTGGGGTCGAGCCAAATTTTGAACATCATAACCTGCTGAGGCGCCGTATTCAGGAGGCGGGTCTCGAAGACGTTTACGAAATACTGGGAGTAGGTGCCGAGGATCTGCCCAGATGTGGGATTGAGAAGGGCAGCATAGATACCATCTGCACCATCCAATGTCTGTGTTCCGTTCCTGGCCCCGAGAAGATTGTACAGGACTTGTACCCTTACCTGAAGCCTGGCGGCAAGTGGCTTGTCTATGAGCATATCAAGACCAAGTATCAAGGCGAGTTCGTAGCATATTGGCAAGGTAAGTTCGTTCTATGAATAAGGTTGCGCTGTACAAGCAAACTAATGCACAGGCAGCATTGTTAGATTGTGGTAAGCTAATATAAGCTGCAAATGGGAAACCTCTGTATTGACCGCCTACAGTATGGGGCATATTCTTTGATGGTTGCTCTATCACTCGCCCCACGGACGAGTTCCTCCTGAGAGCTGGCGATTGGGACAGCGTGGACCTCAAGCCTTGCGAGGGAGAGGGCAGGTATGATTCCGTGCCTCATGCAGTTGGAGTGCTGGTCAAGAAGCGATGAGTACACACTTCTCATGAACCTCGCAAGTTTGTCTACGAGTCGTGAGGACAAACAGTAGATGAGTACGGTTGTTGAAGCGAGGACTGCGGACCATGAAGGCGTGCAACAATGCTGATAGTTTGGCGACTCTAATTTCTGTGATGTGCCTATCCACTGTGCTGGTCATTCAATCACTAGAGGAGTGTAAAAAACATAACTATCCACCCCAGCAATGTACAGTCGTCCAACCTTTGTAACAATCTCCGCATTGCTGTTCGCAGATCCCATCCACATCTGCGATAACGGTCCACCTGTGCATCTTGCTGTCAGAACTGATAGGCCGAAATGATAATGACAAATTGAAGACACGAATGACATTATAAAGATGGATGTCTGCGATCATTTAATCAATGGAAGGAGTGAACATGGCTTTGCAATGAGCGAGCATCAGGACTGCATTTAAGCAGTATGATATATGTGGAAGAGAGAGAAATATGCAAGAAGTAATGATTGCAGATGCCAACCAACCATCATTTTGAAAATGACTCGAGAAGTAGCGGGAAATCATGAGAAACGTGCTTCTCGTAAATATGAAGCCTTCCTTCGAGAGCAGTGCTGCTCGTAAAATCGTCCATCTTATCAGGGGAGGTCGTTGTATATTGCAGGACTTGCACTGTGGGTGGCAGTCGATGATACAATTGAGCGAGGAGTGTCGAATCAATTAATATGGACAAACGGTAGTTGAAAAAAATATTGCAAACATTCATTCTGCTAGGATGTGTGTAGCAAAAAACCAAAAGATATATCGACAACGGCAGGACTCGAACCTGCGCACTCGAAAGTATCAGATAACAGAATTTAGACATTCGAGTCTGACTCCTTAACCACTCGGACACGTTGCCTGATGGAGACCACTATTTTCATCTAGTATAAGTAGATAATCACAGCAACAGCATAGCCCTGTCAAGCATAACGCAGCTTGACTCCAGCTCATCAGAAAACAGTCATCGAAAATTTTTATCGGTATCCATCAGTTTACTGAGTGTTTCATCTACAAGTCGACTCGACGAGTCGAACTGTCCAAACCCCGTCGATTTTAATTGAGGGTAAGGTCCCCACCCGACCATTCTAGCGACGCTGTCGCTATAGTCACACTAGCGTTGTCTCTAAAGGGACTGAGCACTGCTACAGCAGTATAGAGAAGAGCTAGGAACATTAGATAGAGCAGAGGGCTAATTCAGCCTATCCGTTTATTAAATCTAAGCAACAATGCCGTTTTTACAAAAAATATAATAAAATGTCTCTTTAAAAAAGTAGTAAACGCTTAGAATAACAAACTTAATAAACTGCTTAAGTAACTCTAGGAGCAGAATAAACTATTCTATACTTAGAATAAACAATTCTAAAACTAAAATAGATTATTCTAAATATAGAATAAGCAGCTTCAAAATTAGATAAAGGTTCTTTATTAAAAGAATATTGCAATAATAGTAATATTTAATATTATTATAAAGAAAAATAAGGAGCTTAAAAAGAAGCTTAATATTATAAACGCTAATATTAAAGCCTTAAATACTAAAGTCTAATTAATTAGCTCTAATATTAATAAAGGAAGGACAGTCTTTTCAACTTTTAAATAAGTAAATATAATATTCTTAGCTAACCCTAATATAGCAGCTTCTTTATTAATTTCCTATATTTTAACAGCATTAGGCTTAATTAACCTATTATTATTAGCTATATAGCCTTAATGTAGCAACATTATAATAATAATATTATCCATCTTTTTAGAAAAGCTATAGCAACTTTTAAAAATTATAATTAATATTAATAAAATGCTAGCTAAATAATATAAATTTATAATACATAGCATAGCTATAATAAAGAAAATCAGAAAAGCAATTACAGCCTAGCTATTAATAAGTATAATCAATATTAAAAGAATCCAAATAAGAATAAGAATATTAAAAATTATTATTTAAAATGAAAAAGATATAGCCTAACTATAGCTAAATAATAAATAAGTTTATTAAGTATTTAAAATGGCCTAAACTTATAAAAAGGACCTCTTTTTAATTAAAATGAATAACGTACTTAGAATAGCAGTTCTTAAACTAGGTATAAGGAAAATCAGCTTAGAAGCTATAATAACGTTTATAATAGAAAACAAGTTTATAAATATTATTAAAGCGTTTTAATTGTTAAAAGGAGAAAAATTAGCAGAGTCTATAGTAATCTATTTTACTATAGCTAAAGATGCTTAATAAGCCTTTATTAAATAATAAGTCAAGATTAAGAATAATATAATATAAATAAGCAAATATAAAAAACACTAATACCTTTAAAGATACTATAACTATAATAAATATAGCTATTACTAGGCTAAATGCAGCTAATTTATAAAATATAGAAAATACGTAGATAGCTATAAAACTAATAACTATATAATTATAATATTAAAATATGCAGCGTATAAGGGACTATATACTGTAATAGACTTTAAATACATAATATACTAAAAGGAGATTAGTAAAATTTGAGGTAGAAACTAACTCTCTAACCAGCTTATTAAAATAAGGGAAGAGAACTGGCAGACAATTATAAGCTAACGTATTAAATAAGAAGTCACTATAAGCAATATATAATAAGGGACACCTACTTCCTTTTAGCAAATGTGAATAGATAATCCCTAGTCTAGCTTAGCCTTATTAATAACTAGTCTATTAGCTAATTTATAGTAATTATAATTATAAAACTAAGTATTATTAATATTAAAAATAAACTATATATTTCGCAATATTAGTACTAAGTTATTATAATATTATCTATATATTAAAAAGGACTAATACATTACGCATTCTAATTAGCACTTTATATTTATAAAGATATTTTATTTGTTTAAATCTATATAATATTGCTTAATATAATAATAGAAGTTATTATTACGTTAATAAAACACATTTTCATAGCGTTAATTTATATTTTAAGCTATAGCTAATATATGCCTTCTAAGCAGGACTTAGAAGAGACCGCTATTATTAAGCTTAATGCCCTAAGTAAAGCAATCTAAAAAGCAAAAGCTAAATATAAAGAGAACCTCTATATTATAACTAAAAGTGACTTTAATTATTATAACTTAATATAAAAAGGAATCAATATGCTATAATTATAATATAAAAAAGAAAGTAAACTAGTGCTTTAATAAATACAATAATATAATATTTTCTTAGCTTTACTAAATAGCATAATTACATTCCTATAAGGATAATTTGGAACTACTATTAATTTTATACTAGTATCTAATTTAATAAAAGACTAGGTTATAAAATGTAGTATCTATTTAACTCAATATAAGTTAGACTACAAAGCCATAATATTTTAAATTAATAAAGTCAAAATAACTGCATTATAAAAAGCTAAGTACAATTTTAGAAAAACAAATTAGAATATAGCTATTAAGGCGCTTAAAGGATAGAGACTGTTAGTTATTAATATTAACAATACTGTTAAGCTTAATTAGGTAGTTATAGAAATCTAGAACACTATAAGCTAATATATCTATAATTATAGCTCTATAGTAAAAGAATCCCTATATATAAAAGTATAATAGGACAATAAGCTTATAAAGCTATATAATAAATATACTTAATGCTTAAATTAAAGCAATGTATTACAAACTATAGGACTAGATAGCAAAGAAAGCTGTTATAAAGCTAGGCAGGCTAAACACTGGTTTTATAAAGGCATCTATAATAAATAACAACTATATTAGAATAAATTCCTAATATAGACTAACAATATCTGAAAAGCAGCTTAATACCTTAATTTATAATTATTAACGTTTAGCAACATCCTTATTATAATTATTAATATTAAAAGTCAAAAAGTGGAGCTTAAAAGAGATAAGGCTAAAGCAAATAAACTACTTTAATGCTTTTTCCTACTAGTTCCTAAAGGATAGAAGGAGGACGCGCTGAACCTTAATACAAGACATATAGAGGATCTGGACATCTCTATTAAAAAAGTAATTAAGGTAATAGCTAAAATTAGCCTATATAAAGCATTAAGTATAAATAGTATTCTAAATATTATATAAAAACGCTTATAGTCTATTCTAAGTAACTAAGTTACTAATATCTTTAATGCGTTATACTAATTAGGATACGTACTAACTGTATAAAAAATAGTATAAATATTACTATTATAAAAGCTAAGAAAACTAGATTACTATATAGTAAAAGCATACTGCTTTATCTCCTTTTTAGCTATTTTAAGCAAACTGATAGAACTTATATTAGTAAAGAGAATGTCGTATTAGGCTAAAACACTTAATCTCTTTTTAAAAACATAATTTGGTATTAAGCTAAAACGCTTATATAATTAAGCGCTGCTTCTCCTAATTAAGAAAATCTTTAAAGGATAGCAGTAAAAGAAAATCCTTTCCCTTATTAGTTTTAATATAAAGGGAGCATATAATAGCGTTCCCTAATAGGTGCTTACTAGTTAGCTATATATAGAGGGGATCCCAACCTACGTAATAGTATAGGTTAACTCCTTCTATATAGATTAACTAGTAATAATACTAGTTAACAGCATAGAATTAAGCAGAATCATATTTACAGAATCTAGCCTTTTATAAAAATTAATACTTACCTTAATCCTATATATCTTCTTTAACGCGTTCTTAATAAAAGAAAAGATTAATAGGAAATAAAGTAATATAGGGTTTATAAATAACTATACCTAATAAGCCATTTCAGAATTAATAGAAAGAAATATATCAATATTTAATAATAAAGTTGTTTTAAAGGCTCTCTAATAGGTAAAAGATAGTAGCGCTATATTCGAAAGCAATAAAACAATCCTTATATATTTTATACAAAATTATAAAAAAATTAGCAATTCTAATTCCCTATTAAAGATAGGCAATTATATTGTCAAACCTTTTATAAAAGAAAGAATCCTAGGAGTTATTTTTAATATTAAGCTAAAGTTTAAGAATTATTTAGCTAAAATCAAAATAAAGAGATGGAAAAGTGCTAGCTAATTTAAATACCTCTTTTATATTAGCCTATAGTTAGCAAAATAGCTATATTAAGCTATAATAGCTTTTAAAATAGATTATATAATTACTACGTAATACTCTAAATCCTTAGAAGGAAAGATTAATAACAGTATAGCAAAGATTCTTAACTCTATATAAAGAATAAGAGCTTAAGCAATTGTTAAATGCTTTTATATAAACTTAATAGAAATATCTAGCGCTAAAGCCTTATTTCATCTCCTATATATCTAGCTAAAACTAAAAATTAGTAAATTTTAGATAGGACTCTACACACTATTAGAAACTAACCTTTTAAAGAAACAGCTTAGAAAACTGGCTAAAAAGCCTAAAGCAAAGTTATTCACTTCCCCCCTTTATAATATAGAAATATAGTTAGGAAAGATAAGAAAAGGAATGGAAATCATCCTAGCATAGGTAGCCCTATTATAGAAAATGACAATTGTCAATAGCGAACCTAACTAATATAACTTAGATAAAGCATATAGAGAATATATTAAAATAAAAGACTAGCGTATAAATGTCTTTGCTAATAGCTTAGTAACTAACAGCTAAATAGGAATCAGAGTAGCAATATACTTTAAGAAGTCTATGCTACTATCTACCTATTTTTAAAAAATCAAATTAGGAAGTAGTATTAATAGTACAACAATAGAGCTAGTAGCTATTAAATAAATAGTAACTCTAATAGGGATTATATTAGAAATATTAATAAGATAAGGGAAACTAATCCCCTAAATAGCAATATAGTTAAATAGCTAAAAAGCTATCTGCATAATTAATTATTAAATAAGCTAAAGCGGAGCAGCTATAATATAAAATATATTATTTAAAAAATAC